AGGTCACAAAGTTTGTACAACCCTAATGCTGTTGCTATACATTGTTCAGCTGCTTTTGATGGATTATACCAGTTCATATCACCACCAGTGCAGCTCAGTGTTTCCTTCATTACCCTTTCCAAAAGTGGACACTGTAAAACTTGTCTTGTTGGGAAAAAAGTCGTAATGTGTTAATTGGTATTGCTTTAATTAAAGAAGGTCAGGTAGGAGGTTGAACACTTTTCATGTTTATATCATTTTGTGTTTCTTATATAATTAGCTTTTATATTCTTTGCTTGTGTTTCTGCTGAGGGCTTAGTAATTTTAAAAATTTGTTTCTGTAATGACTTTTTTTTTGACATACTAGTAGGAGGCAACTAATCTTCAGACTATTTTCCTTTTTAACTTTTTAGTATTCAGAAATTTTAGATTTTTTTTTTGGTTTTTCAAGATAGGGTTTCTCTGTGTAGCCTTAGGTTATATTTTAAATTATGTATTCTTTCATCAATTGCTTTTTACCTGTCAGATATGTTACTGCTAATATAGACATCCGTTATTAGAAAAGTTTTTGCATGGGTTGTTGAGATGGTGTATGGTTACGAGCACTGATTGCTCTTCCAGAGGACCAGTGTTCAATTCCTAGCACCCACATGGCAGCTCACAGCTATCTGTGACTGCAAGATCTGACACCCTCAAATAGACATACATGCAGGCACAACAAACACTGTTGCACATAAAATAAAAAAAAAAGTTTTAAAAAGCCTTTGCCATGCTTTTTCTTTTTTAATGTAGCTCTTTAATACTCTTGGTTAATACTGTAGCATGATATAGAGAAGCAAATTTAGTATTTAATGCTTCTATTAAGCAATATAAAAAGAAAAATAAAATATGTTCAGTTCTATGGTGGCAACTTGGAAAACTAATTAAGTGAAATGTTCAAAATAGCATAGAAGTCTATTTAGGTTCAAGATGGAGATAACCTGTATTTATCAATACATTGACTGAAAGATTTACAGCAGCTAGCTCTAAAAGTTGTTACAGAGCCAAATGTTTTAATAGTGAACTCACTGAATTTTAAATGCTTGATAATTTAATGTACGTACAGAGCAGATATATAAATGGAAAGCTTTGTAACTAGAAAACTTCTAAAAGTTTCCAGATTATTTTATAAATTCCCCATAATGATATCAAAACCTAATAATCTTAACAAAGAGGAATGGGCCAATGTCACTTTTAATCTGAAAAACAAAATGTAAATGCAAACTACTTAATTGGTTTTTAGAAGTGCAAAGATGATTTACTATTATGCAGTGTTATTCTGTTTCAGTGAAGAATCACAAACCGTAGTAGCCACTGTGGCTTTCACAGTAACGTGCATTCCAGAGAGAGAGAGAGAGAGAGAGAGAGAGAGAGAGAGAGATTTGTAGCAATTTGGATTTTTAAATTCTGGGTGCTTAATTGGTTTAGACTGCAGATGTTCCAAAATCTGAACATGTCTGCTCCTAAATTGTTCAGTTAAGTCAGTTTTTTCGTTGGCTAATTTTCTAAGTCTTTGTATCATTACTTTTTAGCAACATATACATGAATTTCTACTTTAAATCAACTTGGAGGTACATGTATCTTTTTAACACAAGACATTGTTCATCATTGTATTTGTTCATAAACAGTTTATTTCATCTTATAACATTTGGTATTTTTAAATTTTTCTAGTTTTTTGATTGTGTGTTTTAAAAGACCTGAAATTGAATAGCTGCAGGTAAAACTTTTTACTGTCCAGTACACTGACTCTTGTAGCTCTAAACAAACCTGTTTGTAAAAATAGAAAAAGCAAGTCTCTCCACGGCGTCCCACAATAGTGTCCACAAAGCTGGAGCGCCCCCAGCACCTGGCTCTTCCATTGCTGTACAGCCAGTCTGTGGTTCATTCCCTTTATCCCCCTGACTTGGTAAGATGCTCATAAACTCTGTTCTAACTTCTAAGCAGTTACTTTCTAGAATAGTCACCACTGAACTCTATTCCTTTCCATTTATGAGATAATATTATATTCACTGTATGGAACTTACAATACATTTATGTTATTTTGTCCCTATTCCTTTTTGTGTAAATTCTTCTTAAATCTTGTCTTCAAAACTATATTACAAAGAAAATCATATTTACTGACAGAGGTTTTTAAAATGTTTGTTATTCCAATTTTTGGATGATTTTTTTTTAATTATCAGTATGCTGGTCTACAGAACTGTTTACCAAAAAAACACTTTGTGTAGATTTCTATAATTCCACTTTTTGTCCCCTCTTGAGGCTAAGTCTTTGTTATTTAGCTATTGAAGGTTTTACATCCCTCTCTGAACTCTGTCCAGAGTCTTTAGTGGGGTCGCGTCCTTACTGCCTCACTGGGTTTTATTCCTCACAGGTGAGTGTAGACGGACATACAGGTGTGCTGCAGCCTAGATGAGACACTCACCGCTCTCCTATTTTCCCCAGTTTCTCTTCCCTCTCCTTTTCCTGTCTCACTGTACATTTAACTGCTACCAACCTCTCTCTACTTCTTGCCAGTACCCCATCCCCACACCAAGTAATTTTATTCTCTGGCTAATATGATTAAGAGATAAAATAGATGGCCCACACCTGAGAGAGAGGTCAGGAGGCTGAAGCCTTTGAAACCAACCTGGTTCAATTAGCAAGACTTTGGAGGAAGGGAAGCAAGAGGGAAAGGAGGGCAGGTAGAGATCCTGTTGGGATAGGGAGGAGTTCTGGAGAGGTAGGTGGAGCAAACAGTAAATATCTCTGATAGTCCTACAGACAGCACTCATACCAAAAGGGCCGTGGTTTTTCCTCACACAGGGCTTCTGTTAGCGTGATTCTGAACCTTAAGAAAATAGGTTGTAAGAGAAGTAAACTCTCTCCCTTTGCATGTGCTTGCTTCCTCTCAGATAACTGCTGGAAAGTCTTTAGTTCTATTGATTTTCTATTCCATTTTTATTGATTCATTTCTTCAGGAAGTATTACTGAGTTCTTGCTGTGTACCAGATACTTTGCTACATACAAACAAAAAACATACAGTGAAGGCAGTTTTCTTACACTGATGACCGAAATAGTTTCTGGATTCTGTTAGTGATATATTTAGGTGAAAATGTGGTCACTTTTTTATTCTTAATAATTATTTTCTGGCAAGTTGAAAAAGACCATTTTAACTAGAGAGATGGCTCAGGGGTTAGTTAAGAGCACTGATGGCTTTTCCAGAGGACCAGGGATCAATTCCCAGCACCCACATGGCAGTTCACAACTGTCTGTAACTCCAGCTCTGGTGGACCTGACACCCATGTCAAAACACCAACGCACATGAAATAAAAACTAAAAAAAAAAAAAAAAAAAGCCCCACTTTTGTTGACATTACCAAATTGGGTTAAAAGAAGGACACATACAATTTTTAAAGTTGTTCTATGTCCAAGAAATAACTTGAATATGGTACTTATCATATTAAGGCTAACTTCCACAAATGTATCATCACCTCTGACTTGATACAGTCTTCCACTCTTTCTTCATGTCTTTACATTTTTTATTAATTTATTTATATTTTATGTATAGAGATGTTTTGCCTACACATATGCTTGTGCACCGCATATGTGCAGGGCCTGTGGAGGCCAGAGGAGACATAATGTTCTCATTTGTGAGCTATCACGGGCTTGCTGGAGTTCAAGCCTGGGTCCTCTGAAAGCAGATAATGTTCTTAACATTGAGCCATCTCTCCAGCCCCAGTTCTTAATCTTTCTTAAGTTTCTAATCTAAGTGAATGGAATTAAATTATTAAAACTTTTATAACTTCAGCTAAAGTGCTTTGGCTTCCCAGCTGGTTTTCATTTTTAAAATCTAGTTGAAAGAATCAGCAAAGCTGCATTCAGTGACGATAAATGGAGAGTTTGACTTGGGAACCATCTATAGTTAATGGTTCCAGCAAATATTGTGAGATTTTTAAATGCCCCTGATAGAAATCGATAGAAAACACGTAGACTGTTGGTGGAGTATGAGTAAAGCAGTTTTTTAATTTCAGCAAGTAAAAGCATAAACGCAATGAGGATGAGCAGTTAGCATCTCTGACATGGTAGAAGGGTGAAAAGGTCACAGCAGTTAGAAACTGTCTTCTGCACATCCCAGTATGAAAGAAAGAAAGAAAGAGAGAGAGAGAGAGAGAGAGAGAGAGAGAGAGAGAGAAAGAAAGAAAACAAAGAAAGGCAGAGTTTTTTAAAATTTTTTAATCATGTGTACTGCTTGGCATGGAATTGTATTTACTGGCTGCTGGGGTGAAGGTACCTTAAGTGCAAAGACCCCCAAGTTGCTCTATGAGTCTCATTTTGACAACCTACAGAGATTTGTTTCTTTCTAGGAGAAGCTTACTTGGATCATTAGCCTGTTATAGTATGAAAGGCAGTGGTTAGTTACTGGGGGTATTTTCCTGCTGCCCACCTGACCTTACCTGGTTGTTTTAGATTTGTGTGGGAAGGTAACAACATTAGGCCAGTGCAGAGTGTGTGTTCACTCACAGCTCTTCCCCTAGGGATCAGAAGTCTTCTCCCGCCTTCCCTCCCACTGTGTGAACTGCAAAGTGAGCCCGTATCCCTAAGCTGCATACTGTCTGCAGCTGAAGCTGAGGATTTGCTGTTTTTATGATCCTTCAGTTTATCAAGCTAGTCCAATAGGATTTGGCATTCATATTAATATTATGTTGTAATATAGTGGTAACAAATGTTGCAGTAATTGACAATAATTATTTTATAGCCAAGGTAGATGAGCACTGTGGAAATAAACTTTATGCCTATTGGAAAGTCAGGGTACTGAGTTTTGACTGTTACCTTTATGTTTAAGAATTGTAAATGTCTTCATGATTATTTGTATTGTAATTGGATAAAAAAATACTTGATTTTTTTCTAGAATGTTTATTAAAATAATCAAGTTTATTTCACATGTAACTTTAATTCTTACTTCACTATTCTGTGTGTTATAGTAACTGATGAACTTGTTCCTAGGGTCCACCTACAGATGCTCCTGCCGTGGACACCGCAGAACAAGTCTATATCTCTTCCTTGGCATTGCTAAAGGTAAGGAAGGAATAGAGTTACTTGCTTCTTTTGCAGTTTCTCTTTTACTTCGGCATATTTATCACCGTAATTCCCTCAGGCGTAAGTATTATTTAGGGTACATCCATAAAATTGGCTTTTATTTTCACAGAAGCAAACTAGGTTATTTGGCAGCATGGGTGTGTGTGAGTCAAGATCTCATATAAATGTGCTTTGTGTCTGTACCTCTTCCTCTTTACAGATGCTAAAACATGGCCGTGCTGGAGTTCCTATGGAAGTTATGGGTCTCATGCTTGGCGAATTTGTTGACGATTACACCGTTAGAGTGATTGATGTGTTTGCTATGCCACAGTCAGGAACTGTGAGTAGTTCTTTATTTTGGCTGCTTCTTGTTTCATTTTTCTTTTCTTTTTTTTAAATTCAAAATGATGTTCATCTCTTTATGTTTTTTCTTTGCAGTAGAAAACAGCAATCATAAGACTAATAGTATAAATTTTATCTTGTGTTGAATTAAATCAGTCTTTTAACTGTACTATGGACTCAATGATGCTGGGTTTAAAGTTAGTTGTTATAAAAGTAGGGTATTATATTAATTACTCTCAATATCTGCTCAAAAGTTTTTAGAAACTATATAAAATTGGAATGGGTGTAAATTAATCCTCCTGTGAGGTTTCCAATGCTTTGAAGTCTATGGTTTTTTTTTTTTAGTGTGCTATGTATGAAAGTTAATGATTTTTACATGTTAAATAGTAAAATGTAGATTTTTTTAAAGCAATCTACACAATTTAAAATGTTTTCTTTATAGAGGTAATTTTGCTCCACCTTTTATTTACTGAAGGTGATTTTTATAGAAAGTGGCGCATTTAGGCTGTTTTGGTTTGTTTTGAAATGGGGTCTCAATGTATAGTCCTTGCTAGCCTGGAATTCTTTATGTAGTATAGGCTATTCTTGAACTGACAGAGATCTTCCTGCCTCTGCACTGGAGTGCTGAGATTAAAGGTGTGTGCCTCTGTGCCCTGTTGGATTTAAAGAAAATATGAAAAAATAAAAAACCCAGTAATAAAAGGCAACATAGTGGCTTAATGCCCTGAGTCCCAGCACTGGAGAGGTGAAAGGAGATGAGGAATTCAGGATCATTCTTGTCTTGAGTCTTCACTTTGAAGCCATCCCATCCTGCATTACCCCGTCTCAGATAAAAATTGTCAGTGTTAGTTCTCCCAGTTCTCAAACCCTGACACTCAGCAGTCTCACTTGTGTGTTTTCTCCGTGTTTTGGGTGGAGGCTTCCCTCTGCTGTGGCAGTGTTCTAGTTAAGGCTGGCAAGGTGTGTCAGGTGAAGATGCTTGCTCTGTTTGAGGATCCTTATATACTTGAAACAAATTACACACATTTAAATGATGCCATGCATACATACACACATGAAACAAGTATTTCTATGGACCAGTTGCTATAGTGTGCAAAAGATTTGAAAATAACACAAAACAATAGGAAAATCTATACTATATCTTGTTTTTTGTTGTTGGAAATTTTGCTTGGTAACTTGATTTAGAATTCTTTTGTCTTTTTAGGTAATCATTAAACTTTTTGTTCTTTTGGATATAGAAGCACTTAATACCCACAATTTATATTTACATTGAAATCTTACTATTATATCTTTTTCTATGAAAATATATAAAAAGATATAACAATGAACTTATTTCTGTTTTATATAGTCCCTGTGTAGATAATCAGGATAATAAATGATTCCAATGTATTATTATCACATTTCCATGTAAATGTTTGTCTGACAGTATAAGATAGGCGATTTTGATGCTTATATTCACCCTCTGTAATAGAGTCAGAAAGTATTTCCTTGGTTCAGGAGTCAGTAGACTCTTCTGTAGAGGCTTGTGTCTTCATTTCATCCCTCTCTCTCATCTCCCCCCATCCCTGCCTTCCTTTACTTCTCCTTTTTATAATAATGAAAACAAAACCCCAGAAAGATAATCTTAGCCCAGCTTCAAAGTGCATATTTTTGTATTCCAGTATGCCTTCTCTATTGGAATTCAGTGTGCTTTTTGCTTTGGTTGGTGGAAGTGCTTATGATAAACTGGCTTGTTTAGCTAGATTAGACTTAAATTCTGATGCTGGGATGGTATTAGGAGGTATGCTTGCCATAGGTAGTTATAACTAAAAAAAATCATAATTTGTCAGCTCTTTGGTACTTCTGATGATACATATATATAATCAGAAATATATATGACAATAGCTATAAACTTTTAATACCCTAAATGTTGTCTAATTATTAGCTAAAAACAATTCAATACTTGGCAGATTTAGAAATTTTGTTGCTATAAATCTTTGGGTTCAATGATTTGATTAGCTTTCAAATAAATGTATCAAAACCTATAAATTTTTTTGTCTCCCCCCCCCCCATAATCTAGGGTGTCAGTGTAGAAGCAGTTGATCCAGTGTTCCAAGCCAAAATGTTGGATATGCTGAAACAAACAGGAAGGTAAGTGTTATACACTAGCATTTTTTGTAAATGAAAATACTTTTGGAAATGTACTTTAAAGTTAATGGGTGTTTGTGGGCATCATTCCAAGGGGTAGAATCAGTGTGGTTGACCCACCAATGAAAATCTCCCAACCAGAAAACTGCCTTGTATTCTCAGCTGTCATGTGGTAGGCTTGGGCTATAATGTCCCTCTCTTTAGCATCTAGAGTTACTTTTTATTGACTTGTAACCAAAAGACCTAGTAGGCTCTGTCTGTATATTTGAGAATTGCAGTCGAATGCAGTTCTGAATAGATGTTTGTTGATAGGAGTTTTAAAAGACAGTGTAATCCAAGTATTTCCCCCCTCAGACTAAGTCTCCCAATGGTTGTCATTCTCTTGCTCAGATTCTTCTACTGTGGAAAAAACTTCAAAATTAATGTTAGCAAAAGGCTCAGCAGCTGAGCAGAGCAGTGCAAATTGGTTTTTGACTGAGTTCCTAGTTCTACTGCTGGTTTAATTGATATTTAATCCTTTCACAACAGTGGATCCTGGTGTCCATTGTTAAAAAATTTACTCTGTGCCTGAAAAATCCAGCTCCCAGAGCTAAGGAGTTAAAGAGTAGATATTTACTTGAATGCTGAAAGGCTAAAAACTGGCTCTGAGAAAGTGTGGTAACAAGGTGAAAAGCTGAAAGCCTTATCTACCACTGCTAATGTGCATCTCTTAATGATAGCAACTCCTTTGTCACACTTGCTCACTGCCGTGTTTTCTGGGTAATATGGTGCCCGATTTCAGAGTTTCTAATGGTGCTTTTTCACACCTGTGTGTTTTCATCTTTTCTTAATTTATACCCTGTTAGTGTGTTGTTTCTTCTCATATCATCAGAGTATTACTTGTTGTGTTCTAAGTGTCTGAATGCCCTCTTTGTTTCAGGCCTGAGATGGTTGTTGGTTGGTATCACAGTCACCCTGGCTTTGGCTGTTGGCTTTCTGGTGTGGATATCAACACTCAGCAGAGCTTTGAAGCCTTGTCGGAGAGAGCTGTGGCAGTGGTTGTGGATCCCATTCAGAGTGTGAAAGGAAAGGTAGAGTCTTTTAAAAGTATGCAAATCCATAAATATTAGCAATTTAACACATTATGTAGGGATTTTAAGTTTGCTGTTATCATGAATAAATATTTATTCTTAATTTTTAAAAAAAATTCATGAATTTGAATGTTAAACCATACTGAAAACTTTATGCCTCATTTTCTTACTTTATACATCCTATACATATATATACATTATATGTATAAGATTGCTTACATATAATATGTATATTTGCTGCTTTATATATTCTATTAATATTTTAATAAATATCAGTACATTCTAAAACTGTTCATTTAAAGGGCTCTGTTTTTTCAGACGTTATGCAAAATGTATTCTGGAGTTGTATTTTCCAAATATTTTAGACAATGAAAACTTGCCCAAAGACTTGGTAATCAGCCATTCATGTATTTGCTATGAGGACACAGATGAATGATTAAATATGCTCACTGATTCTGAAAAGAGGTTAACTTGCAGAACACATTGGGTTATATTGTTCTTTGTTGAAATCTCTTTTGTTCTTGTTTAGTTCTCTCTCTCTTTTTTTTTGTTCGTTCTTTCGTTCTTTCCCCTTATTTCTTTCTTTCTAGCCCCATATGCCATTTTCCTATTTCCTGCCTCATGACAGCAGGGTGCAGCTCTATTATCACCTTCACAGAGCTGTCTGCAAATGTGAGAGGCAATTCGATTTTGCTCAACCACAGGGAGAGTGGATTAGAAAAACTACAGAACATACAGAAATTGGCTAGGTGGTTACTGCTTTAAAATACTGCTGAGGTGTCTTGTTTGAGCATGTACTTCCATTGTAGTGCAGAATAATTGTTAAAGTAAAATCACAATACATTCATGGAATCCTTTTTATGCAGGTTTTACGAATAATTTTTAAAGCACTTAGAAATAAATATTAGCTTGATATCTATTAGACCTAGAGTTTGATAGTGGTGTGGGTTACATTTACATCTATTCAGCAGCTGAAACAAACTAAATGTGATTGTTAAAATATAGATTCTTTGTTTTGCAAATTTGAAATTGAATGGTTTTTGATACCACATTGTTAGGATGCATAAAAATTGAGGTCTTCTTTAAAGCATGATCCTATGAGATGTAATGTAGCTTTTCAACAGCAGAACTGTCCTCCAAACATAGACTAGCAATTTAAGTTAACTTCTAGTGTTTGCTGTATCCCTGAATTTCAATTTATTTGCCTTCTCTTTTACTAAGAATGTTGTAACTTAATACTGACGAAGGAATTGAAAATCCTTATCGCTTACTAACTTTATGATTTAAAGTACAGTATAATTTTCTGACGTTTAAGGGGTCTTTTCAGCAACTTAATTTAATAATAATTATTATTCTAGAAATACAAAATTAAAACTTGTGAAGCTCCCACCACAGTGATTACAAACAATAATTAGGGCCTATCAAGGATAGTTCTAAATAGCAGTTTTAATTTCAAAACTTAATTCAAGTGTGTGTAATACTGAATACTCATTAGTTCTGGTCAATTGCAATTCATATTACAATAAAAGTTATAGCTAAAACTATACCTAAAGCATAGGTTTTGACAGTTTTGTCTAATTTTTAAAATATGGAAAATTACTTTATGTTAACTGAAATGATCAAGTTTTGTCAGTATATAGTGCACCTTTTTGACACCTTGCTTGGTTGTAACTTAAGACTCTTAACAGTCAAGAGCTTTTGACAGTATAAATCAAACTAAATGCTAGTAAATCTATGCTGGAATATTTTAGTTAAATTATAAAATTTAAGAATATTCATTTATAAAGATGAAGAATAACATTGTACTTTTCCTTCTTAGGTATGTGATTTATCAAAACTGTCAAAATATTCAGCAAAGCAGTGATTAGATCAAGAGTTAAGATGACAGTTTGTAGATAAAGATGGAACTCTGTTCATACTTTTAAAACCTTTTTCTGTAGATTTTCATTTTTATAAATTCCAATATTACCTATGTTTTTTAGCAATTTAGATGATTATGGATTGTTTCCTTGTCATCCTAATTCATTCCCAGTAAGCTCAATTTTCGTTTAGGGTGACTTGACTAGTTTATTGAATAATACCTATATTAGAGTGATAACCATTTGGACTTAATCCTAGAGATAGACACTACTTCTGTTACTGTTGCTATTATTATTACTCGTAAAAATAAACAAAGAAATCCAACTCTAAAATTATATAGCCCTTAAGCTTTTTTATTTGCTCTTTAATATTAAATTTTATGGGTTATTTATAACCAGAGTGGAAAGTGAGCACCAGAGGTCTTGCATAGCCCTTTAAGTTAGTATGACAAGGTTGTCACTTCCTTCAGCTTCCTGTAGTTTTAAGTCATGGGAGAGAACTTCAGGTTTCTCTGAATTCTAAATAGTAGTTCCTATCATTTGTAGTAGGTACTATGTATGGATTGATTTTTTTTTTCCCCCATTTGATGGATGTTCTATTAATTTGTATTAGATGGGTTTATTCCCTGGGACCAAGCAGTAAGACCACCACAAATAATAAAGTCACTATATGATGAATTCATGTCTCTCAGTGAAATGGTTTTAAATGATACGAGAGAAAATTTTTGCTATGAATTCATAATGTAAGTGGAGAGTAAATGCATAGGGATTACCAGGGAGCTCTTGAACCCAGCTATTTAGTGAAGTAGTTCCAAGATTCGGTTGTTTAGTTTTCAGTTTATTTGTAAAGTACACATAACCAGAGCTTCCAGTGGCACAGTGGTAACCTCTTGCCTAGTTTGCTTTGCAGTCAGCCTGCAGTGGGGCTTGATCCAGCTCAGAAGCTTCAGAAGTGGACTCAGCCCGTCGCATTCCTACACGTCTTTCATGTGCTCACTGTGGGCTTATTGCTTTGAGCAGCATCTGAAAGCTACTATGCAACTCACATATGCACCTATGTGTTATTTCTTTAAACCATTATTGATTTAGAGGCTTGACTTTGCTTGACTAGGTTGCTGTTAGTGAGATGCTGTAATTGTAGTGCCTGTTTTCTGCTGACAACTTAAGGAAAACTAATGACCATATAGTCTAAGTAGTGTCTTCAAACATGTTTATTTAGCCTAATGAAAAATAGTCTATAAACTTTTGAAAATGGGATATTTATCGGACTGCAGATCGGAATCCCATATTTGCCACTATATAAAAGCATACTTTGATAGCATACTTGGTAAGTTCAGAGTAAATCAGAAAACAGTATGCCCCGAGCAAGCAGGTTCAACTGTGGCTAAGCGTTGAAGGGCGGATGATGAAGACATCACTAAGAGAAGCTCTTCCATGTGGGAAGACTGAAGAAGGAATGCTGTTCATTCTTCTGCAGAGACTCGAGTTTAAAACAGGGGGGTTCTACTAAACGTGGAGCGCTGGAAGATCAATCCAAGCACAGGAAAAATGAATTAGAGAATGAATGTTCTAAGGGCTTACTCCCCTTACCACATATTTGGGGATTGGGAAAAATGTTTTCACAACATTTCATGTTAATTTTAAGATGGTGGTAGTTTTGAATTTCTCAAAAAATAGTTCTAGCTTTTCTCATTAAAAAAAACAAGTATGTAAAGAGAAAATTCATAGCATTTATACAGATGATAAAATTTTCAACAAGATTTGAATGGCATGTAAGGGAATAAATGCTATGTGTAGAGGTAGCGTTTATTTTAAGCCAAAGCTCCTGTGTTAGTAATACAGTCACTAAGCTAATTGATTTTGCTTTAGTACTTGCTATTCATTTCCAGTGGTGTGATTATATTTAAAATTAATTTGATGCAGCTGTATTAGTTTAGAAAAAATAGAGTTTAAAACCATGAATGTCCCATTGCCCGTAAGAATATTACTGACTTTTGGTTTATTGAATGCTTTTACTTCCCTAGCCATCCAGTTATCTCCAGCCATTCCCACTGTGTACTGGGTATGTACTAGAGACACAGAAAAAAGGAAGAGTTGTCTCTGACCCGTAGTAAAAGTATTGTGTGGGGAACAGTGGCTCAGAAATCTTTTCCTGCAATATCACGTTAGTTTTTAAGGCGATATTGTAGGGTGATTTGACATTAGCTCTTTTGTCAGTTCTAGGGGGACTTTTCTAAACGCAGGCCTTAGTTTTGAGTTTTAATGTGTTAACTATAATTTCCTAAGAAGAATTTATAATAGTGGTAAATTTTCTTCAAAGACATGGTGGCAGAGTTCCTCAGTTGTTAGGCTACTAGTTATTAGAGTACTAGGTGTTTGTTGTCATGTTTTACATCCTGTTATTGTACAGATTTCTTTCTAAATGAAACAGTGTTCTTTGAGACTTCCAGTGTAGTCTGCCTCTGCTACATGACTGAAACTTAAACAGTGGTAAGGGAATGAGAGGATACTGTCAAACCTAATGATGAGGGCTTTTAAATAGATAATTGATAGCTTTTTTCACACAGAAAATAGTACACAAAAATACTTTCTTGAGTTTTTCATCTTGTTATGTATTTATTCTATTCTGGTGGTCTTTATTGTTCTTCTATTGCTACTGTTATGTAGTAGATACCCAGTAGTGAGTCTTTAAACCCTGCTTTTGTGTAAGCGAAATTTAGTCTTTTCTAGTGTTTGTGTTAGTGTAGTCATTGTATCAAATAGCTTGCTAATGACTAGTCTTAGTGTCCATATAGGTACAAATTATAGTTCTATCTCTTATATATGTAACATCTCATTTAATGTACTTGAGTTATATAAACCTTAGTTTCTTTATTTATAAACATGTCATTTTGGTTATTCAATACAGTTTACTTCTTGATTATTGAGATGCTTTGGAAAGACTGTTTCTACCTATTAATAAGCAAAATTTAAAAGTTATGTAGGAATTTATTTGATATTTTTATGCTAACTACATTTATCTTTTGAGAAATGCTAGCACGGCCGTGGGCAAGGAAGGTATCCACATATCTCTTGCACTAACACCGTCCTCTTTAAAGAAAATCAAAGTATGTCCTTCCTTGCCCACTGCCGTGCTAACAC